CACACACACACACACACACACACACACACACACACACACACACACACACACACTTCCCTTCTTCCTCACTTAAAATCTCCTGGGAGCATACCACCAGCTTCTCTGGTTTCACTACACTGCAGTCCCGGCTGATTTTAACAAAGCTTCTATCCTCTTGTAAAATGTAAAATGAGGGGGTTGCACCAGACAGGCTCCAAAGTCCCATTTAGCTCTAACAGTCTCTAAGTGGCCGTGCTGATCCAAAGAAACTGGAGTATTTCCACAGAAGCACCCACATTTGGACTTTGTTCTATATGTGTCTCTGCTGTCTCTCTTCACTCTGCCTTCCCTCCCCCTTCCAAACAGTCATGATTTAGCAAAAGGCTTCACTGCAAATTTACTTTCTGACAAATTCCATAGAGCCCAGACCAATGGAAGGTCCACCAGAGATCCTATAAGTGCACAGAGAGAGCAACTTGGGTCAGTTTTGCTAATTATTCTTTATCAACCAAAATGAAGCTTCTAGATGTAACCTCATCCCCCATCCATAATGCTCTTTATATAATAATTCTTCCCTTACATGTTGTTTAACTTTCACAATGTTTAAAAAAAAAACATGCAGTTGATGAACATTGTACTTCTGAGAAAATTTTCCTGGATCATAATTTAATATCCATTTTTCTCTGCACTGAGTCCTGCCTTGCTCTCCCCATCAATCTAATTCATTTCTTTCTCCAAGAAACCATCCTGCATCACTGTAAAGATAACTTCATTCTTTCCTTGGAAACCGAAGTGTTTGATGACATGGCAGCACTTGTTACTTAACGGGGGTCATTCAATTTGACCACGAAGACACTGACGTCAGTAATTAGTGACAAACCTATGACTGGAACCTAGAAGCAGCGTAGCTCTTCTGTGAAAAACACCATTTATTAATGCTTCAGTAATTTGGGAGATGTGCTTGGATTTAAGACTTTAAAACAGCCCCTGTCTTGTGTTTCTTAGTCCAGGACTTTTATCCACGGAACCTACACTTCCTCTCTTGCTAAAAGACAACTTACAAAGAATCAAGGATGCAAGTTCCCTTATTCTTTTTTCTAGCACCCAGCGGGACTTGGTTAGCAGCAGATCAACCGTTTAGAAAGAGCAAGATCGCCAGTAGCCTCAGATCAATTGGAAGCATCTCCATGTTGAGGATACATTTAGTCTTTACAAATGGTGGTTTTGTATTTGTGAAACTGTTTCTTACCAGAGACAAGCTACTTCAAAGTAAGCTCGATTTATATTTATTAGGCGAAAAGTAAACAGGTGTCCAGACAAACACATCTTCTTCCCTGTCTATGCAGAACTGAGGCTTGGAAGGATCCCCACCTGCCGCAGGTTGGTGCAGGAAACCCCACCCTTATTCCCCACCCCAGTCTTGCGGATGCTAAGCTTGCACTGTACCACTGAGCTACATACCCAGTCCTAATATTTTTAATTTTGTAAATTTTGGCAGCACCTTGTTACAGTAAGGAATCAACACCACTGAATCTGGACTCAGCACCCGAATATTACCCCAAAATAACCGTTTGCTTTTGGAAATGCTTTTGTTTATGTGTCTTCATGGCTCTCTGTCTCTCTCTCTCTCTCTCTGTGTCTCTCTCTCTCTGTCTCTCTCTCTGTCTCTCTCTCTCACATACACACACAATTTGTGATACAGATCTATGACTTAGAACATAGCTGCTGAAGTAATAACTATTCAAAACACAGAAGAAAAACGTTAAAAAACACATTATTTCTGCTAATTCAAACTACATTACGAGCCACATCACCACACACTCTTTTCACAGCTCGTGTGACCACCTTAGACTGTCAGTTAACTTGGTCCCTGATACTGGCTCCTTCCCTTACCTCCCTCCCTCCTTTATTTCCTTCTTTCTTTTGAGGCAGGGTCTTACTCTGTAGCCCAGGCTGGCTTCAAAGTCATGGTGATTCCCCTGCCTCAGCCTCTAGAGGGCTACAGTTACAGGAGTGCCACTGTACCTGGGTTGGCTGTGCTATTCTCCCTCTGAAGTTCTCACCTGTGAATTCAAGATCCTCAAATAGTTTGGGATCAGAACCCCAAAGTCTCCCAGTATTTAACTGAGTAAAAGTAAATGATTCTTACTTTTCTGGTTTTGGTTTGTTTCTTTTTCTTTTTGGGTCTGTTATGCTTTTCTCACAAATTTACTTCTATAATTTACAAAGGCAATAAAAATAAAATGAATAATCTTTTTACCCAGGATTTCCATTACATGCCCATTTATAAGTTACTTGTCTCCTAAGAACTAAAGCCCTGCTCATGAGTCCAGAGAAACTTTAAATCTAAGCACTGCCTTGTATGTGCACATAACATGTCATCCTAAGAAGATTTTATAGGTACATGTAGCATTTTTAGTATTAAACTAGCAGATCCCAAGGTTTCTAGTATTTTTCACTATTTACTACAGACATTTTCGAATGAAGAAGGGCTGATATAATAAGCACCCAGGCATGCATCACCTCTGGTTAATAATTACCATTTTCTCGTATTTGCCCCATTGTCTTTTTTCCCCACTAAAATACTCTAAAGGAAATTACAGATATCACATTTTCTACATAACCACAATTTCATCATGATGCCTACTCGATTAACAACCATTCTCTAATCCCAGAGCAGCATTCCAATCTTTCCACTCACAATTTGAGTTCCTCAATAACATTCATAAGCCCCTGTTCTGTTGTTAAGGAAGTACCCCCAAACCAGCTCTAAGGTAACATTCTAGCTTGTTCTACCCGGCTTTCAGCATCCTCTCAGATCTGCTCTGAGCAGATGCCCTGCTACCCCTGCAAACCATCCAGTCATGCTCTTATATCTGCAGCCCTTGATTCAAACATTGATGAGAAATAGACAAGAGAAACTGTGCCATCTCGAACAGATTGTTTCCTTCAATCATCAGTGTTCACCAAAGAGCAAAGAGAAAGAAAAAGGAGGACCACAGACCCCAAATAGAATCACATGGGTTTTAATGGGATTGTTCCCCTAATATTTCAGTAGTGGTCTATGTGATCAAATTAAACAATATATAAAGATGGTATACAGAGTCAAATTTATTGAATCTCAGATTTGTTTTAAGTTTGCATTACCTTTAATCATTTAATTAATTCATCAAAAGTGACATTCTTGTAATCCACAGTGATGAAATAACTGGGTTATTTCAAAGTCAGTTAGAGGGTAGGTAGGATTAGAGACTGACCAACTATAAAATATAAGTAGTATTTAGTATAGACACTAGAATAAAAGAGTTCACTTATCCTTTTGTAGAAAATAGAGGCATAGCTGGGGTTGGTGGTGCATGCCTTTAGTCCCAGCACTCAGGAGGCAGAGGAAGATAGATCTTTGTGAGTTCAAGGCGAGCCCGATCTACACAGTAAGTTCCAGGACAGTCAGGGCTACATAGGGAGACCCCAACTCAAAAGATGAAAATAAAAAGAGAGAGAGAGAAAGAAGCATAAACAGAAAGCTAAGATTGCTCTTTCTCCTCATCTGCAGTTTTCTCCTCCTCCCTTTTGTTTCATTTTTTGAGGTACCAAAGCCTCTCACACATGAGTTTTTTTCAATTTAAAAAAAAAAAAGCCAAAAACCTCAAACAAGAGCTTTGCCATGTCTATATGTGATGCTGTCTCGAAGGCTTTTCTTCCCTGTCATTTAGGATAGGAACATTGCTTGGAAGGTTAGGTGACATTCTTTTCACCTTTACCTTGTGGATTCTTGAAGAAAGTCATTCCCCTTCTTCAAGAATCCACAAGGCAGCTTATTTGATTGCTTTTAAAGGGTGATTACATAGAATTGATGAATCAAGAGAACAAACTTTCTATTTGTTTATATTTAATAAAACTGTATAGGGGAATATATTAAGAGCTACCTCTTTATTCCATTATAATAAAAGCAACCATGCTATACTTTAAAACACTTTTTAAAGCGAGGGGTCCATAATACAAGTTTGGAGTAAAGAATTTTTGCTGAAGGCCTAAGAATTGAGTGTATTCTTCAACTCTCAGATGCATATGCTTTTTTTATTAACATCATTCAAAGCAACACACCAACATGACTAGATTTACATATAAAAAAAATATAGAAATGCTTATGTTCCCATAAATAATTTATCTACAAAAAAAGAATATATAGAGTCAAATTGAGCTACCCTCAAAATGAGGTGGACGAACAGGGTAACCAGAATTTAAAGACAGTCCTCAATATTTTCCTTTAAGTTACAAAGAATATTCCAGGAAAAAAAATTAATATTTAAATTCATTGTTGGCTACTTTCCAGAACAAAACCTAAAGGCAAGATAATGACTAACAAGCCAGGAGTGGAAAAGCCCTATACGAGATCCCTAGTGATCTAAATCTAAGAAGTCCACCTTGAACATGACTGTAGTGCCTCCTGACAGGTGAGTGAAGGGACAGATGGGCTGTGTATACTGCCCTACAGATGATTAGTCTGATGCAGCCTGCCTCCACTTAATAACAGCCACAAGAAACAGAACCCCCTCCCCCATGCACACACCCATGAACACCCACATGCACACCCGTGCGTGCAGGCGTGCGTGCACACACGAACACACACACACAGGGATTTTTTTTTTAAGGTGTCTCTAAAGATAACACTCATAGTCTAAACGCTCTGTTGTGCCATCCTTTGCTGGCATGCTGCCGTCCAGGAAATAGAATGCCAGCAGCACCACTTACTCATCTAATAAATATTCACTGGTGGTCTCTACATGCCCAGTAGT